TTGATCCTTCTAAAAAACAAAGAGCCCACATCAAGTCTCTTTTGCAGCACCATGGGATGTGTGGCACCTAGTTGTAATAATTATCTATCATGGCTTAAAGTTTCTCTCATGATATGCCCTATTGTTGCATATTACAATATCAATTTGTTGTTGTATGGACTTTCAGCAAGTTGGCAGATCTCTCTTCTGTCTGGGTTTGCTAATACGCTATGGTAGCTCTTTATTGAGTGCATCCCAACAGGCCAGCGACAAGAAATTAACAAGAACCCTTGATGTGTTTAAAAAATATTTTCAGTCAGACGATTATGGGATCAAGGTTAGATCATTACAGGTGAGTTCTGCTCTTCTGTACAACACCTTTTCTACATAGTGGTGTGCACGTCACTTCTGTGACTATAGTTTCTTTCAGGCACTTGGATACGTTTTAATTGCCCGGCCTGACTTTATGCTGAGAGAAGAAGTGTGTAAAATTTTGGAGGAAACACTTTGTGCTGGCACTGATACACATGTCAAGGTAATCATGTTAGTGCTTAATTCATAATTTGGTGAGTAGTGCATATACTCACTCATGAAAAAACAGATGCAATCATTGCAAAACATGTACGAATATCTTCTGGATGCGGAAGGCCAGATGGGAGAAGATAAAACTGGTGAAAGTGAAGTTAGTAAATCAACAGACAGTAGCCATTGTGTACCTGTAGCTGCTGGTGCAGGCGATACCAACATCTGTGGAGGCATAGTTCAGTTTTTTTGGGACAAAATCTTAGGAAGGTCTTTAGATGTAAACGAAGAAGTACGCCAGTCTGCTCTTAAGGTAAATGTCTTGATTTGGACCGCTTTGCTTTTTGAATCCCAAGTTCTATGTGCAAAATGTGTACAAGTCTTGCAGTTGAAGGCCACAATTTATAGTTCCCTTATTGCTGAAGACTCATTGAATTCTTATTGTGTTAGCTTCCGTTTTTTTTCAGATTATGGAGATTGTGCTGCGTCAAGGCCTAGTCCATCCCATTACTTGTGTCCCTTACCTCATAGCACTTGAGACAGATCCAGAAGAGCAGAATTCAAACCTGGCACATCATTTATTGATGAACATGAACGAAAAGTGTGCTTATTGTCTTGTAATGTTTTGCCTTCTAACATTGATGCTTACATATTAATCAGCATTAGCCTGGTTGCAGATATCCATCCTTTTTTGAGAACCGCCTCGGAGATGGGCTGCGAATGTCTTTCCAGTTCATGCAAGCCATGGGTGGAGGTGCATCAGACGGTCAATTTGCCAGATCCCGTCTTAAAGAACCTGTAAATGTATTACCAAATTCAGATACTGGCTCTTTTACCTTTGCAAGGCTCGGTGTTTCACGAATTTACAAACTCATCCGTGGGAACCGAGTTTCGAGAAACAAATTCATGGCTTCAGTTGTACGCAAATTCGATACGCCAAGCTGGGATGGTGTGGTTATCCCTTTTCTGATGTAAGTCGTTGCTTAACTCATTAGATGAATACATGCAGTCTGTTTGTATCCTTCAGAGTACTAGGGAGAAATAATAGGAAGGAACACTTAAAAAGAAAATGTTATGGTAAATAAAAGGCAGGATAATACTCAATAAATTTAATTTAGGTATTTGTAGATACTCATTTTATTTTTCCATGTCTATCATCTAAAGGCTAAGGAATCTAAATATATGTAAATTTAAGCTATAAATAATCATGTTTTGTTTTGGTTTTGCATTTATGGTAAAACTGGACATAAGAAAGCAACATCCCCTAGCATTTTGCTTCCTTTACCTAGCATTTTCTGTAATCCAAGCATGTCCGTAATGATTTGTTTTAAGTGATTTGTCCGTAATGAAATAAATGATGTTGAATTTGTCCTGGTATTTTTTCGATTGCAGATACTGCACTGAAATCCTTGCTTTGCTACCGTTCATGTTGCCTGATGAGCCACTCTATTTGATCTATACCATAAACCGTGTTATCCAAGTGAGAGCTGGAAATGTGGAGGCAAATCTGAAGGGCTTTCTTCATTTTCTGCAAGGAGGAGAAGTTAACTTGAATGGAATTGAGAGCATTCAGAGAGTGGCAACTCAGTCTCAGTCCGTTATGTATGATTCTGGAGGAGGTGTTGAAGGTAGAGTTATGCAGGAGGAATTAAAAGCTGGTCAAGGATGTAACGATCATGTGCCATTGGATTTAAATGAGACCTCCTTGAGAAGTTTACATGGCTTATCTAGTGTTGATTTGCAGCAAATTCAGGTATTTTGGAGATTATAAGGAAGGTCATTCATTAAGGAATCATGATTATAAATATGTTATAAAAGGTCATATCAAATGCTAAATACAATAAATAGCCCATACCACCAGTGCCTTCCCATAAAAATAGTTTGGGCCGGGAGCCTATGGTAGAAATAAATAAAAGATTAAGTAGAAGATTTAGGAGAGTGATAGCTCATTGATTTCATTGGTTGATTTTAATTTGATGTGATTTTAATACCGTAGTTAGCTTATCTATTTTAGGAAGTCATTTTCTAGGATTCCCTTTTAGTCGTTCATATGTGTGTCATTCCTAAAATAAAAGTGAGCTTTACTATGCTATTAAAATTTCAGAAGGAAAACTTCCTGAATTTCCATCACCTCTTTCCAATCATTTGCATTTCATTCCCGTGACTCAAAGAATCCCCAGCAGGGAAGGGGAGGGGGATTTATTTTTTACTTTGCTAATTTATCTCTATTTGTTAGTTTTAGACTAAAGAATAATTGTATTTAGATCGTGTATTCCTTCGTAGTTTTAAATTCACTTTATCTGCAACACAATCTAAACGTAGAAATCTCATCCCCTTCGAAATCTCCCTCCTAATCAAACAAGCCAATGGGTGGATGGTTTTGGAGGGGAAGGTTTGCTCAATTGCTCTGAATCTGATATTCATACAAAGACTTGATAGTGAACTGCATTTCTTCATGGTATTTTATCATATGGGGGATTGACTGGAGTAAGCATTAACATTAAATTTCATAATAACCGTGAATTATTAATTTTTGGAGAACACAAATGACACAGGTGGACTTTCTACAAGCTGGCGCACTACAACTGCTGCTTAGGCTCAAGAGGCACCTAAAGATTATTTATGGCCTGAATGATGCTCGTTGCCAGGTTTGGTTCCCTTCATGACTCACATTTTGTTTTTTCTTCGAAATTTCATGGTCAATATGTTCCTTTGTTTGTTTGGCCAGGATTATTCTCCCAATGAACCTCCAAAACCAGGGGAAACTCTATCAAGGCAGAGTAGTCAATTCAGTGTGAGTGACATAATAATTGATCCCCCAAATACATATGAAGAGTTCACCAGGCGTTACCAAGTATGATTTCATGCCTCTCTAATATACATTTATCTCCTATGTTGCGACCAGTGCTTGCTTATCTATGTGACACCTCCCCCTCACCCCCTCTCTCTTTTATTATTGGTAGGACTTCAAGAATGCAATGAAGGAAGACACTCTTGACTATGCAATCTACACAGCAAATATAAAAAGGAAACGACCTTCTCGTTCGACTCCAAGAAAACGACCTGGAAGACCCAGACAAATAGGCGATGGGGATGACTCTGATAATGAAGATGACGATGACTGGATGGGCAGCGGGGCCCGTAGGAAGAATAGCATCACCAGAAAAACGGATATCATGACTAGGCAGAGATTGCAGTTGTAAATGCTTGCAGGTAAAAACTGACAGTATTGTATATAGCAGTTAGGAAGCACAGAAAGCAACAAAGTAGACAAAAAAAACGGAGGTGGGGTAACGAAAATAAGAGAGATACATCTCCTGTTTGCAAGGAATTGCTGCTTTTGCCAACGGGTTTCTTTTGTCTGTGCCCCGCACAAGGTAATGATTACCTGCGACCTTAGAAGTCATGGTGTCTGGAGGTACAAATTCAAACTAGCCGTGTTTTGGAGATGCACCTTGGTGCGAGTTCCCTTCGGCTGGGATTTTTTTGTTTTTTGGGGCGTCAACTATTAGTGAATCTATATATTGTACATTGTCCTGTTAGGAAATTTAATCATAGAAATGAAATCACGCATGTTCTTTTCTTTGTGTAGGCATGCTTATGTTTTTTTAAAAGAATAAGCATGTTTTTTTTAAAAAAAATATTAGTCATAGTCGTGTTGTACAAGCTGCAATTTGAAGTGCTGCTTCCAATGATTCTAACATATGATTATCAATTATGTACCTCTAGTAGTTCTCTAATAAAGGCTGTTTCAGTGATGAAAGTGGAAGTATTACACCCTTCGGATACATCCAAAATACTTGTAAGTTGTAAGTACTGCCCTTTCAGAAGAAAGAACTTCAATACTTGAGCAGTCATGAGCAAGGGAAACAGGGAAAGTATGATCAAAAGCATTTTAGAATTTTTTGTGGTGCTTACGGTAAACCTGTAGCATAAACTTCGACTAATGAGTCATGACTGCTCAAGTATTAAAGTTCTTTTTTACCGGTTCTTACTTCACGGTGACGGAATGTATGGTTCTGGTTTTCGGTGTAGTGCGGTCATTCTTATATTATGGCATGATGGGGCACCTCCATGGCTCCATGTCCTATACAAACATATTGAGATCTTGTGCAAGTGTTGTCATGTAGGACAACCGAGCAATTAAAAGTATATAACAAATCGGGTTTGGAATTTGGATTAAAATAGTGGTAAATGTTTAATCGAGTTTAAGTATCTATCGATGGAATTGCCCCAACCTGCCAGTTCCCTAGACCAACCCATTTTGTTACCAGTTTGGATTTGACCTTGTTCAGAAATTCTGGGTTCAGGGGGGCTGGTGGTGGGACTTGGAACCAGCATGTTCGTAATCAGAAGAGGACCACTTCTACCTTTGATCAATGAGCACCTGTCATGCTCAGTTTCTTGGTCTTTAACTCTATATCCAAAGTCCGAACTTTAGAAATCGACTAGTTTATACAAGCACAACTGCAGATGGAAAACCCCCATAAACCCCATGAGTTGCCTACATCACTACATGGAGTCGCATTTCTATTAGAAAAATGAAGGGTTCATATTACAGTTATGCGTCTCTATCTAATTAGGTATCCACCACAGTAAAGAAAAAAGAATTAAGAATGGTGAAGCATTGATCTTGGAAAGTTGAAACATTGACTAACAAAAAAGTATTACACGGTTATTGCTAACAAAAAACCAACGACATTACAGCATGGGTGACGCAAAAACAAAAATATATAAAAAAAACATGTGCCAAGAGTCTTTCGGTGGGATGAGCCCCTGGCATTTAAACAAAAAAAAATGTCTTGTGAATTTGTGATCTTTCTGATAACACAAAAATGGTGTTTTTATTAGAGGTACTAAACTCCACACAATGAGAACCTAGTAACGGAGCATGTAGGTTCTGCGTCTGAACCAATTGTAGTCGGGTAAATTTTGGATGGGACCCACAGCTGAGATGGCGACATCCTAAATTGAAAATGTGGGAAAACGAGATTAGATAATGAAGCTACTATATGTTTGGCCTGGTTATAGAAGTTAACATACCCGGTCAAAAATAAATCGGTTTGCAACACGCTTGACAGTGCTGGCATCTACTGCGTCGATCCTAGCAAACAGTTCAGCAAATGGGATCCTTCTGCCATATGTGAGAAGCTACAAAGCAAAACAAAAAAACAGGGCTTTTTCAGCAGCTATAATTAATCTGTTATGTGATGTGGTATATTCCCCAGACCAAACAGAGAACTGGTATGACATGGCACATAAAGAGTCACTGCCACTTGGCCATTTATAAACCATTTGGCCATTTATAAACCACTTGGCTAGTGTTGAAACTTGAAAGGGTTCCTTATTCTGCCATCCTAAGAGAAAGTACCAGAGTGCCCAGTCGACTACCCAACAACTTCTGATTGTAATAATTAACTTCCTAATGCATTAAAACCATATATTTAGTCCAACTACTGATGTTCCACAGGCCAACTTCGTTCCTTAAGTCCCACTTAATCTTCACAAGCAAGTTCAGATATTTACTCCATCAATATGCTAATTGTCAAGCTTTTACCTGGCGGCCGATATCTTCAGCAACAGGACTCGTTCCGTCCATGTGAAGCAGCAGTGAAGATTTCAACTTGAAAAGCAATGAAGGATAACCAAAATGTCAAAACAATTAATTGAAAGAAAAGATGTAAACCAATATATAACTGCACTAATCAGATGTATCTTGTGTCTTCTGTAAACACACCTGATTACGAGCACGAGTCACGTCTTCATCCGAAACTTGATAGCATAACGAACTAATTTCATACATCATTGAATAGGCCAGGTCATCCAAGCAATCAGGCTGTGGTCAATAAATAGTTTTTATTAGCTGATTCTTGAAGCTAACTAGATATTCAAATGTTAATTCTGATCAGACCACATAAGATGAAAAGAAAAAAGCTCTGGCATACCTTGGCAACAGCAAGTACCCCAAAAAGACCAGTGTCTCTGTAGTTTGTATTGAATGCCATCATGCTTTCTGCAATCTCATTGATGCTAATCCTCTGTACAAGCTTGGAACTTTTGCAATTTGGACCGACCAGAATATGTCATGTAAATAATAACTCAACAAATCTATTTAACTAACTAAATCATCATATGTGATGACCATACTAACCCCATGTGCTTTCCGCCACCGGCACTCTTATTCCAAGACCCCAATAATGTTTGTATAACCATTAGAGCAATTGAGTCTGGATCTGTCCAAGATGCTCCTTCAAATGCAACAACGAATTGTGCAAGAGGAATGTCATCGTCAATCATTCTCACCTGAATTTCACATAACACAAATATTAAAAAGTCCTTCGTGAGAGTAAAAAGTAGAAGACGTGCTCAAAGATAGGAGTAACAGCATATACCTCAGAACCCGTAAACCTAGCAGGATTTTTAGCAACTAACTGTGAAACGGTGGTTGGGTCAGTTGACAGCTTTGTGAACATCTTCTTAACTTGCTCAACAAAATCTTCATGTTTTACAGGACCAGTTGCGACCACAACCTACACACACAGACCCTTACATTGAGAAAAGAGAAATTTGAATTCCATTAGCTTTTGATTACATTATGCGCGTGTAATATCATACTTGTATAAACAAGCAAATTGTAATTTAATGGGTTGTGCATGACTTGTCTAGTGTCAATAATACCTTCAGCAGAGACCCTTGTGTATTACATATAAACTGAAACAGAACAACTCCAAACATTAAAACGCTGTCCCTACGAAAAACACAATGTGAATTTCCATGTGTTTTACTATTATGTGAAACATGTATGAATTTAGTTTAGGTTGGTATATTGGTCTACTCATCCGTCTACATTTCCTCTACGGCTGGAGCATTAGAAAGCACAGATAAGGATGGGGCCACAAGAACCTGATATAGTTGGACAATGTGACATGACACAAACAGGATAAGAAAACAGCAAAATTATATAAAATGAAAATTAAAACTTAAACATGTTTGATTTAGTTTGGAGCTTAAATCCCAAATAAATATCCCAATACCCAAATAACAAGTATTCAATTTATATAACCTTAAACTAGTGTCAAAAGTCAAAACAATACCCTTGAATATTCATACAACTCAGAATGATGGGATAAAACGACTTTGGGTTTTAACACTACAAAATTGAGATAAACATTTCCTATATACTCCCTCCGTCCCTCTTATATTGGTACGGAAGGGAGTGGTGTGATTTTTAATAAAAGTAGAATTATGTGGTTGGTAATTAGTTGATAAAGTGGAAATAAAGTAAGAATGAATTAGAGCCACACAAATGTTACCAAATATGGTATGGGACAATAATAAAGGGACATCCACAAATGGAAAAATGGGACAAGTAAGGGGGCGGAGGGAGTATTCCTTTTCATTGATTTTTTGTATGTGCACATTTTGTATCTCTTGACGAGAAAAGAACGTTTGAGGAATGAGACAATCACACAAAAGATTGGAGTAACACCAATCGAAATTAAGATGTGAGAATCTTAATTGCAGTGGTTTGGCAATACGTATAGAAGACCGAGTGATGCACCTGTTAGACAAGTTGAGAGGTTGGAAGAATAAGCGGGGAGGTGTGAGAGAGGAAAACCTAAATAGACGTGGATTAAAGAGGTCAGAAATGATATGATAGTTCTCGAATTGGATGAGAGTATGACTTGGAGAGAATGAATTGGAAGGAGATTACATGTAAGAAGGATTGATATCATTTATCTTTTTCCTTTTTTACCTTTCTTATCTTTTTTATCTCTTTATCTTTTTTATCTTATCTTTTTATCCTTTTTTTATCCTTTTTTACTCCATTTCCAATGGAGCCAAAGGCTCACTAATTTTTTCCCTGAGAATTTGATGGAATAAAGCAAAATGGCTCACTAAACTGTATGTGCTTCTTTGTTATGAAGCAACAATCTATCCATGCAATTTTCTACGAGATTTTCATCATGGACATCTGGAAACAATCTCTCTGTCCTTTAGTACAAGGGTAAGGATGCGGACATCCGACATCCCTTACCCCACACTAGGTGGGGCCTTTGTGGCACTGTGGTAATGTTGTTGTTGTTAACTTATCGTTTTTATCTTTATCATATATTTTTAAATCTTTATTATCTTATCTTTTTATATTTTTAGCTCTAATTTCTTTTGTCGGTTCATGTTAGCCAAGCACAAACTCTTTTAGGACTAAGACTTGTAGGGCTGGCATTTTGAACCGGAAAAACCGAAAAGCGAACCGAAAATAACCGAACCGCTTTTGAAAATAACCGGACCGAACTGAACGAAATTGGGTGCCAATAATCGGGACCCGAAAAAAATCGTTTCGGATTCGGTTTATGTGCACGAAATATCGGTTCAGACCGAACCGAACCGACATTTTTATATTAATAATAATAAATGTTATTTATAATAACAATAATAACTAATGATGTTTAATAAAGGTATAATATAAAACCGCATTTATTTGAACATACTTGAAGAGTAGCCGAGTTGGTTATTCAGCGCTAATCCTCTCCCAAACGTCGTGGGTTCGATTTCCGCACTTGTGTTTATTGTTTTTGTTTTTCAGGTTCTTTTCCTATTCTATTTAATCTTGTCCCACACCGGAAACTGAGCAGCTTCATACTCCAAAACTTCAATATAAACTAGGTCCCTTGGTGTAGAATCCCAAGATAAGTTATTGCAAGCTAAGTTACGTTATGGGCTTCCATTGGGCTAATCGGGCTCAAATATTGGCAAGTTCCAATGGGTTTTAGTCAATTGAATATTACTTCAAAATTATTTATTACAATGTAGTCGGTTTCTTTCGGTTTCCGGTAAACCGAACCGGAAAAATCGGGTACAAAAAATCGGTACCCATTTGTGCAACAGTTGGGTTCCGGTTTTGAAAATTTGGTAAACCGAAACATCGGGTCGGTTCGGTTATATACCAAATCGGTTCGGAACCCGAACCGAAACCAGCCCTAAAGACTTGGATGTTGTTGTTGCTGCACAATTCGTATCCCTATAGTTTTCTCAATCGCAACCAATAGTCCCAGGACTGTCCTTGAATGCAATCAAGGACACTGTCGATACATGTGTGGTGTGTCACCATGTGCGGCACCAAGAATGGTAGATACAATATTTCTCTAGTAACTCAGATTTGCTTCACTTAGTTTTAAAAAGTGTGCCAAAGGCATGAGGCGCCGCTAAGCGATGGGGATATCACATCGATTAGTCCCAGGCACAATTAATAGTTGATACCCATAGGTGCACCCTATTCCACACCTTTTTCCGCTTTCTGCGCTTCTGGGAGGCATCCGTCATTAGCGCCTCTCAGCCTCTGGGTGTCAACTATCTTGCTTGAGAGACCTTTGGCAATTCATGTTCCGGAAATTTTGTTGACTATCTTTGGCTCCTCTCTATCTTTCCACCCTTTCCTGACTATTTTTACTCGTTCTTCTCTTTTTATTTTACATTTTTAAATTTATCAAATAGTTGAACTTTAAATTATTAAAATATACTACGTATAAGCATATAACAATCTGCCCTAAACCCTGATCCATCAACTTTATATAATAATATGGTTTCTACCATCAGATTTTAAAACTTTTACTTTTAACAATTTAATAAAAAGTTAATATTAACTGTGTATTATATGATCGTTTAGTATATAATAGTTACATATGACAGTTTATTACTATATACAATTTATTATACAATACTTAATTAAAACATTTACTATTAATTCTTTATAAATTACTATTAACAGTTTAGTATATAACAAACTGTTAAAAAATTACTATTAACTGTGTATTATTTTATAGTCTATTATATAACAGTTGTATATGACAGTTCATTATAATAATTTATTAAAAGCTTATTACATAACGATTTATTAAAAAATTATTATTAATTGTTTAATATATAAGTAATAGTTAGGTAGTAGCCCTTTAATAGTCTAATCAGAGCATATTGTTTAAATTTTTACTTCTCCAATATTATTAGAGAAACTTGAATGTTTGTTAGTATATTAATCCTCCAATAATCCATTATGCCTAAATTCCAGTAGATAGTTTGGCATTTAATATGTTTCTTGCTACTATTTGAATAAATATTTTGTTTCTCATAAGGTGTTTATAAAGCTTGTTTAATGGCTTAAGGTATTTTTGTGATGTAATCACTTTTTTGGAAGATAGCTTCACGTAGTAGTATAAATATATTTTTACCAAAGTATTAAGTTCTGTGAGGCGCGCCTTCATCTCACACCACGGGTAAATTGACCCAAAACTCCTCGTGCTGCCTCACGCCTATTAAAACTAAGTTGCTTCATAGCTAAAGTATATACACAATATCAGCTCCAAACTTGTTATTAAAAATTGGGAGAACCTTCAAAGAAGCCCTTGAAGTATAGTGAATTTAGAAATTATGCCATGTACTAAAAACCCCAACCAAGTACCTCAACTACACAAAAACACACTCAATTTCTCGTTTTTTATGGTAACCACCTGGTTTTCAAGTAAACTAGACCTATATAGTTGCTCCGTATTATTTAGCCACCCACATTCTCTGTTAGCGCTTACTTGGGATTTTATCTCTTCATTTTGTTTTTCTTTTCCTTTTACATTTCTTTTCATTGCTTTCTTATCCCTGGCCAACCAACCATAGGTTATTCTTTATTAAATGCATAAATCATAGAAATCCCTTCACCTCTAAGCTTGTCCCTTCCTAGAGAGCTAATTCCACCAGGTGAAAAGTACAGTGCCACCTTAATAAAGGAAAATAACATGTTGGGCAACCCTTTATAGCCTCTTTTTCCATCAAATTGCAGAACTGAACTTTGTTTTACTATCCTTTATAGCCTCTTTTGTTCTTTTATTTTCTTTTCATTCTATCCTGCTTCGATAGGTTCCAAACTAAGCTGATCTGGAAGAGTTCAGATTTAAGGGTTTAGGGTTTTCTTTGATAGGATTTCAATTTTTGTTCTAAACTTGGCCAGAAGAAGATAGACTTTGAGGAAGCATGAGTATGTATGTGTAAAATAAAAAGAAACGATAGAAAAATAAAACGAGAAAATAAAGAAGGAAGATGAAAACAAACCTAAGAGATGATGAGAATGGAAAGGAAAAACAAAGATAGACAGAAGAAGCTATTGAAGTTTAATTGTTTGAAGAAGGAGCTGACAAGAAGAAAGGACATATATGTGAGAAGAAAAAACTAAAGTAAAAGAGAGAAATGGAAAAAGGAAAAAAATAAGATAAGAGAAAAAGAAATAAGAAAATAGCCAAGAAGATGAAAAAGTAAGAAATGTTACTGGAAATCTGAGGGCTTTCTATTTAGAAAAGTTAATTGAATGTTTTCTATTAGTTGATGTGTTCAATTGAATGTTTCTTAAGTACAAGGGCTGAATTGATAAAATGAAAATAGTACAAGAGCTTATTTGATAGTTTTCCCAAAAATAAATGATCCAATATCCCTTGTACGGAAAAAAACTTGAATCTCAAGAAGCCTTAGTAAACAAACATTCCTAATATACAGATATATCCAAACTACCACAGAAAAAAAGTGGTGTCAATCATCATGCCACATGCATGCTTATGCTGTTTTAAACTCTACATCATGAATGTCAGGCTGTGTTATAATGCAAATACTCCCTCATATCCTTGTAATAAGGCAACTTATAATAGAGGTCAATGGCTCTTTTATAAGGCATTGTGTTCTATGGAACATTTTTTAATTTTATCCAGTTGTTTTCCCTAGATAAATGTTGTGTTCAAGTTTACTTTGAAAAGTGTTCATTTACGAGGCATAATAATAATAACAATAAAAGTGGGTGAAATTGAGACGTCACACTCCCTTAATCGCACAATGTATGATCCATTGGAAGCTTTTAAGAAAACGAAGGATATAGTTGCTGTTTTCCGATTTTTAGCCTCCGAAAAGTAAGAAAAAGTAGTATGGGTTCAAAAAAGTGAATGTGACTTTTTATAAAGGTGAAGGAGGGAAAGCATGAAAATGAAAATAAAAATTATGAAACAAATACCAACTCATGTAAAGCTAAGCTTCAAGCATGAATTAAATAGGAGAGAGAAATAAAATAACTAAAGATAATGTACCATTCTAGGTGCGGTGTAGTGTGTTGATATGTATTCTTGTAAATGTGCTTTTGTGATAGTCTTTATATTCTGAGCAGGTCCTAGGATTGTCATTCCCAAAGGAGTATACTGAAAGGCAGTTGCATGTAGATGGTCGAAAATAACCTCCTCTGGCTGGCCTTCCACCTGTATATAAAAACCGAAAAAAGTATAATCTTTACTAAGATTGTGTAGTGTTCAAAGTAAATTAAATGCATTTAGATTTTGATAAGAGATTTTAAGAAACTGTAACTTAATGCAATGATTCCCAACTCCCAAAGCACCATAACTAGAAAATATTGTAGTGCTCTAGTGCTTAACTAATTTATGTTAAGAATGCTATTACTCCCTCCGTCCCATAAAATTCTTCTCACTTTCCTTTTTAAGCCATCCCAAAAAAATCTTCCCACTTACCATTTTTGGACAATTTGTGTGGTTCACATTCATTTCACCTTTTTCTTACACAATTACAACCACACATTTTCACTTTATTACACTTTCTTAATCTTCGTGCCAAAGTCAAAGTGAAGAATTTTCTGGGACGGAGGGAGTATGTGTCTAGTCAAGTCAACGTTCACAATGTACCCCAAGACAGTTCAAGCTATCAACCATTGAAACTTTCTTAAATTTTAAATGATTGCCGCAAAGAATCTAACTTGAAAAATAAAAATTAACGTTAGCAGTACCTCCAAAGTAAATATTCAGAAAGGAAGAAAATATAAATGCTGGAAGTCCAATATGGAGAAAAAAGGCCCATTTTCTACTAAGCCAAAGAGAATGAAAATTAAGCTGCAAACTGACCTCCTCCATTTCCCTGAGGATGACATCACGTTCACGCTCAATTCGATTACTAGCGAATTTTGAGTGCTGGATAATATCTGATAAGATGTCTAAAGCTGCGGGAATATCCCTATCCAAAACCTTGGCGTAGTAAGTAGTTTGTTCCCTGGAAGTGTAGGCATTTAAATGTCCACCCATATTCTCGATCTCCTCCTCCAACTCCCTAGCAGTCCGCTTCTCCGTTCCCTTGAAGATCATATGTTCGAGAAAATGCGCGGTGCCATTCGTCTCTTCGGACTCGAATCTCGATCCAGAGTCGATGAATACACCGACCGTGGCAGTGCGGGACGATAGATTGGACTCCGTGGCTACTCTCAATCCATTAGGTAGGGTGGTCACACGTGTCTCCGGGGCGCTGAGAATATCGGTGTGGTCAGTCAAGACAGGGTGGGGCGAATTGTACTGTAAGAATCGGGGGTCTGGATTCTCAAGACGCTTAATCTTTGACTTAACTGCTTCGGCTAATCGGTCGTAGATCATGGCCGTGGGTGGCGGAGGAGAGGGTGTGATGGACTGAGCGGTATCTGCGGCCACGGAAACAGCGGCTGAGGATAGAGGTCTGACTAATTGGGAAGAAACGTGCCTCCGGGACCGGCGGGAGAGACTTAGGAGCTGCCGGATCGCCATGGCTGTTAAACTGAGGCCGGAAGGGGCGGCTTTCCTCTGCTCAAACTCGTGAGATGTGATAATGAAGAGGAATGGTCGAGTCGAGTGAAACCAAACACTCCGCCCGAGAGTACCGGGCTCTTCATTTCTTTCCTCTCACAGGCCTTTGGGCCCAATTCAGCTACAATAGGGCCTCGTTATTAGAAGGGCAAATTGTTTTCAAGAATTTTCTCCTATTTCAACAATTTTCTCTATTATTTTCTCACTCCTTTGCCTTGATCATGCCAATGCGCAGTTTATATCCTGGGATCGGCGCACCATGAGATGGTGTGCCCGATCCCAAAACGACACATCATTCTTTTTTTTATTTGTTTTGTTGTTAAAAATTGTAATAACTTTTTTATTTGATATCTGATTTTTATAAATTTTATATCATTTTTTTTATTTTTCATGATCTATCAAATGAGACCAATATTGCTTATGTAATTTTAACAAATTATTTTGAAGTTACATTTGATAATATATCATGAAGTTACATCTTCTTCTGCGTGAGTTACATCTTATTGTACGCGAGTTGCATCTTAATATACATGAGTTACATCTTAATGTATGTGAGTTACACCATGAAATAAACCCCTGCTACATCTTTCATTTTTATCATTTGAAAAATAGTGTATGAATATGAAATACAATATACTTGTTTTATGTGGATTAATAAAATTTTGTATTAAATTGGCAAAGAAAAAAATTAATTCAGTTATAATTGAATTAGTTCAAGATAAAGATAAGTAAAAAATCACAAATAATTAGATATAATTCACCCATAATTACATGTAACTCGTGCATAAATGTATGTAACTCGTTATAACAAGATGTAACTCACACATAATTACATGTAACTCTCGCATAAAAGTATATAACTCGTGTATAGCAAGATGTAACTCACACGAAGATGTAACTCACACATAATAACTTGTAATTGGAGTATAAGATGATGTAACTTCATATATTATCAAATGTAACTCCAAGCTAGAAGCAAAATAAACAAACTCAATATCTTAAAAACCTCTAAAATCATATAAAAGTGATAAAAAAATATATCATAGAAAAAGTAAATGCATACAAAAATATATTACAAAAAATGTATGAATGTAAAAAATTAAAATTACATAGGCAATATTGGTCTCATTTGAAAGATCATGAAAAATAAAAAAATTTGATATAATTTTTATAAAAAACAGACCAAAAATAAAAAAATTATTAACAATTTTAAGAAAAGAAGAAATAGAAAATAACAAAGGGTGCATGGTGCTCACCGTGCACCGATCCCACGGTATAAGAATCGATGCCAATGATGCCATCGCATCACAGTAATTACCTTTTTTCGGTCAAATTAATGTTTTAAAACGTGTATAGAGACGGCACGGTCAAACCTTAACTCTTTGAAGTCCGGACGGACTAACTCTTTGAAAAGGCGTTTAGATTGTTATCTTTTATTTTGATTTTCCTAGAGTTGTTTTAAATGTTTAATTTTCATATATTTTTACCACAAGATTTTATCTTTTATTTTGATTTTCCTAGAGCTATTTTAAATGTCTAATTTTCACCTTCACCTTCATTTTAGTGACTATAATTAATTTAAATTTTACATTGTAGTATTGTAAAAATATACTTATCAATTACCATAATTAGTCTCACATTTGTTCATTAATGTTGTTATAGTTATAGTTCAGATAAATCTCTGATAAGAATGATAATGATGAGAATGTTGATAATGATATTAAAAAATATAATGATGATGATGATGATGACAATGATAATAATAATGACAATGACAATGACAATGATAATGACAATGACAATGATAATGACAATGACAATGATAATGATAATGATAATGATAATGATAATGATAATGACAATGACAATGATAATGATAATGATAATGATAATGATAATGATAATGATAATGATAATGATAATGATAATGATAATGATAATGATAATGATAATGATAATTGATGGAGTATATGGCCCGGGAACCCCCGGCCCACAGACTCTTACTGCTCCAATAAAGGCCCAACAGGCCCAGAAAGCACAACAGGCCCAAATCACGGCGCCCAAGATACCAAGCAGCCCACAAATGCGCACCAGGGGTGCCTTCGGCCCCCTGGCCGAAGGCACTAACTCTCACAGGAGGGCCAAGACAGCAAGACAAAGTTACTGGGAAAAACGGCGAAAATCAGTAGCCCTCAGCACCTGGAGCCCTAGGCACCAGGGGGTCCCCGGTACTCAGAGCCCTCGGCTAGTCCTCTACAGCCGAGGGCACCTTCCCCGACATGATATCCGTGCCACATGCGTACAGATCACCGTACCCTGTACAACGTCCCATCCAATAGCCGCATTAAATGCGGCCACATGCGGTTGCCAGCGCCAACCAGTTGAGGTGACCTCTCGGCCAATGGGCGCTTGACGTGTGTCCCTGTCCGGCATTTATTGCTACTATAAATAGCACCCCATTTCCCCATTTGTAACCACGCTGAAAACACTGAACACTCTTAAATATACTTCCCCTCTCTATACTTACTTGCTCTGACTTCTCTCTTGTTATTCCCCGAAATAACCCTTCGGATAAGCTACCCCGCGGGTACACTATCCATCATTTGGTGCTCTCGTTGAGAGGTCGAACAATCAAGTAAGAAACTCTCCCCCCTCGACCAAACACAAAAACACCCGTCTAAAATGGTGAGAACAACTCGTGCCAACTCCAAGAATGTAGAGGACAGGAACCTGGCCCTCGGCGAGGTCGACGTCCCCGAAGCCTCCAACAGGGCTCCCGAGGGCGGCGTCATTGTCGGGTTGGACCAGACGGCTGTCGACCTACGCCAGCAGATTCAACAAAACGCCCCCGATGCCCGCCTCGGCATCGAGGCCAAGAAAAAGGACCGGAGCGAAAATCAAATTAGCCCTCCGGTCATCACAATTGACGTACAATCAGCGCTCTCCGCCTTCATCCAGACGCTCACTCAGAACCCGGGTGCCTTCGGCACTTTGGTTCCCCTCCAACCTCAGGTGGGGGAAAATATTATGCCTCCCCCTCATCCACAACCCCTCGGCAACCCGGTCCTCCGGATGGGGAACTCCGAGGGGGTCGTGGCCCAAGATACGGCCTCCCAGGAAGTCCAGTCCCGGGACCGCCACAACGTGAACAAGGAACAGCTCCGGACCTCCGCCCTCGAGAGACTCGGAGGGGCGCAAGACCGCCGAGGGGTCCAAGACTGCCTCGGGGGGAAGGTGTTCCAAAGGCCTCAGGAAAGTGGCGGGTCCTTCTCCAGGGCCAATGAAAGGCGTCCCCTTCAGGACAAAGGCAAGGCACCTCTCCATGCCGACGACGCACGCCATCAAATCAATCAAGCCCACTCGGCCCGGGTCCATTTGCAGGGGGCGGAGGCCCTCCCGAAGGACCCTCGGGACGGAATCATCGCGGCCCTCCAGCGCCGGCTTGACGAAATGGAGGCCACCAAAGCCCACGCCACCACTTCTGCCCCTCATACAGACCTCAAATATGAGGCGATGATGGCCAACATGGAAGAAATGCAGAGGAAGATAGCTGAGGGCTCCGGGGAACCCACCATACAGCTCCGGACCCGGACGCCATTTACCCCAAGGGTATTGGCTGCCCGGATCCCGGAAAAATACCGAGGGCAGCTCATCAAGCCCTATGACGGAAAGAGTGACCCCCAAGAGCACTACAGCTGGTATCAAAACAACATGATGATGGTAGGGGCATCAGATGAATATTTGTGCCGCTGGTTCCTCTCCACCCTAGAGGGGCCAGCTTACGAATGGTTCAATCGATTGCCCGAGGGCTGCATTGACTCATGGCAAGAACTCGCCCAGTGATTCTTGACGCAATTTGCGGGGAGGCGCCGCATGAGAAAACACTTCTCCCACTTACTATCAGTGAGGCAGAAGAAGGAGGAGACCCTTCGGGACTTCCTGGAGCGCTGGAGGACGGAGGCTGATAAAGTTGATGGCGCTGACGACGGGACCCTCCTGGCCCTCCTACAAACAGTACTCCACCCCGGGAACTTCTCAAGAAGCCTCATCATTGACCCCCCCCCCCCCCCCCCCCCCCCGCGATTATATATGGGCCATGCAGCGGGGGGACCGATACGCCGAGGCCGAGGAGGTGGAGAAATGCCACCATCAGCAATGCCCTCGGTCAGAAGACAAAGGTAACCGGGGGGCGGGGGCTCCCCGTAATCATCCCAGAGATTTTGCCCCCTCCGGTGACCGCCCCCGGCATGGCCAAGCCAAGCCCGGGGGAGGCTACAAGGGGAACCCGAGGGCTTGGGCACAGCCTGTCCTCCTAGAGCACCCTCGGACACCATTGACGCATCCCGTCAACGTTATTCTTGATTTTGCTGAAGAAAGGGGCCTCGTGGAGCGAGATTCACGCGCGCCCTCGGAAGTATTTGCCATCAATCCAAATTACCCCTACTATCGTTTCCACCGGCACCAGGGGCACAGGACCGATGATTGCCATCAGCTGAAGACGGCCATCGAGAAATTGATACAAGCGGGCCATCTGTCCCAGTTTGTCCAGGGCCCTCAGCAACAGGCCCCCCTCGTCAGGGGCCACCCCGAGGGCAAAATGCGAGAGGGAATGCATGGGTCAACCCCAACACCATCCCCCTCGGCAAGAAGAGGGAGATTGGAAATCTGGAGGAAGAGGAGGAGGAGTACCCCGATACCAAGAAAAGAAACGCCACATCCTCATGATTACGGGGGGGGGGGGGGAATACCGGGGGTGACTCTACAAGTCAACGAAAGAAGTGGGCTCAATCACTTTACGTGGGGGAAGTCACTCATATGCCCCCGGTAAAGCGGCTGAGGGAGGAACCCATTGTCTTCACCAACGCTGATCTCCCCCCAGCATCCTCCCCCCACAGGGATGCCCTCGTCATCCGCACAGAGATCAACGACACCATTATTCACAGAACTTACGTTGACACGGGCAGCTCCATCAATGTAATGTACCTCAGTACCTTCAGAGAGCTGCATCTGGAGAGGGGGTCCCTTCGGCCCATCAAGACCCCTCTTGCCGGCTTCACCGGTGACACCATTGATTCCGAGGGGGTCATAA